CTAGGGTTGGAAAAAGGGAAGTTGAATTCAAGGATAACAGGGGGTCTCATTCGCAAACTACAATGTAAATGTTGTCCCCTAGCATTGGGCAAGGCACAACCATACGTGGCAGTCTTAGTGCCTGAACATAAAAGAAAGTACTACTACTACTACTACTACTAATAAGAAGGACAATATTTGTTTACCCCTTTATACACTATAAGGGAAGAGAAGGGCATTAACATTATTGAAACATATATTAGTTTAGGATTTTATATGCTTTTTGTCACTATTTGTCAGTCAATTTAATTTGCTTAATCTGCATTTGTAAGAAAAATTAGCAATAGATGAAAAATTTAATAGAGTATCTGCTCAAAGTATTAGAGACTTAAAATTAGGAAAATGCAATTTATTGATGTTTTATTGACCTGCCTCTCAACTTGTTTTGATAAGACTAGTAACTAGATGGAAATCAACAAGTTAGAAATTTTCTCCCAAGGTAATAATAATTATTTTGCCTTTTAACAATTCATTTAAAGTACTAAAACACTGTTGCTTTACAACATCTTACAACATGCAGACATTTCATGAGGAGTTGTATGTTCCCAAGTCAGCAGTCTTGGACAATTACAACCTCTGGATATAGGGCACACTGGGTAAATGTTGGGGTGGGGGGTACCTGGGTGGCTCAGTCAGTTGAGTGTTTGACTCTTGATTTTGGCTCAGGTCATGATCTCAGGGTCGTGCGATCGAGCCTTGCGTCAGGCTCTGCAATGAGCGTGGAATCTGCTTGAGATTCTCTCTCCCTCTCTCTCTGCCCCTCCTCTACTCATTCTCTCTCTCTCTCTCTCTCTCTCTCTCTCTCTCAAAATAAAAAAAAAGAAAAGAAATGTTGGGGTGGGGGAGGAATATAAAAACTCTGACCATGGAAAGACACTCCATTTCATAGAGGAATTAGATGGCAGTGGGACTCGAGTATCTTAGTCTACATTAGCTAATGTAGGTAGTTCTAGCATGCCTCTGACTGGCTATAATTCTTCACCTCCTATATTGGTAAATTTTAATGTCCTGATATGTTAGCATTTCTGTAGACTTTAATATCAATGTCAAAAGAAACTTGGATCACCACGTAATTTTTTATAATAACAAAAGAACTGGTTGTTCATGTTTGCCTCCTCTGGTTATGGTGAAGGATGAGGTAGACAGTTGCCATCCTTTGCCTGGTGCTAAGGCAAACAAGGCAAATGGGAAAAATTTATCAAGTAGAAGGACTTTCACTGATTGTAAAATATGTTAATACAACATTGAGAGATATCAGAAGAGTTATTTATTTAAAAAAAATTTTTTAATGTTTATTTTTGAGAGATAGAGACAGAGCATGAGTTGGGGAGGGGCAGAGAGAGAGGGAGACACAGAATCCGAAGCAGGTTCCAGGCTCTGAGCTGTCAGCACAGGGCCCGACGCGGGGCTCAAATTCACGGACCGTGAGATCATGACCTGAGCCGAAGTTGGACGCTTAACCCACTGAGTCACCCAGGAGCCCCAAGTTATTTATTTTTTAAAAGCTTATTCATTCCATCATTTATTCACCCATTCACTCTTATAAAAATATTTATGTATTAAAATTGTTTTTTTATTGCCAAGTAGTATTCTATTATATATATAAACCACATCTTCTTTATCCATTCGTCAGTTGATAGACATTTAGGCTCTTTCCATACTTTGGCTATTGTTGTTATGCTAAATGAAGTAAGTCAGTCAGAGAAAGACAGATACCATATATTTTCACTCATAGGTGGATCTTGAGAAAGTTAACAGAAGACCATGGGGGAGTGGAAGGGGGAAAAAAGTTACAGAGAGGGAGGGAGGCAAACCATAAAAGACCCTTTGATACTGAGAATAAACTGAATGTTGATGGGGGGTGGGGAAGAGGGGAAAGTGGGTGATGGGCATTGAGGAGGGCACTTGTTGGGGTGAGCACCGGGTGTTGTATGAAAACCAATTTGTGAATAAATTATATTAAAAAATAAAAAAATAAAATAAAAATTTAAGTTTATTCATTTATTTTTGAAAAAGACAGAGACAGCACAAGTGGGGGGGTGGGCAGAGAGAGGGAGAGAGAGAATCACACTGTCAGCACAGAGACCAATGTGGGGCTTGAACTCACGAACCTTGAGATCATGACCTGAGCAGAAACCAAGATGCTTAGCCCACTGAGCCACCCAGGCACCTCTAAAAAATATTTATTTACTTTCCACATGCCTGGCATTGTTCAAAATAAGAGAATAAAGCAGTGAAACGAGACAATATCTGCCCTAATGACATTTATATTTTAGCAGGAAAACCAATAATAAACAAATAAGTAATATATGTGTGTGTGTGTGTGTGTATAATATATGTATTATATATATATGTATAATAGTTTATAAGAGCTATGAGGAAAATAAGTAGGCAAAGAGAGCTAAAACATAACAAAACAGTGAATTGCACTGTTAAATCAGGCAGCCAGTGGTATTGTGAACAAAATATAATAGGACTGTCCAAATGTAGGGAGGTTACTTTGGACCGTGTGGTCAGGAAAGAATTTCCTGCATTGCTAACTTGTGAGCTGAGATCTGAATGACAGGCGTGTCAGTATTCTGGAGAAGAATCTTGAAAGGCCTTAGTGAGGAGTGACCCTGGAGAGCCTGGAATACAGGATGAACAGAAGCCAGCATATCTGGAGCACAGAAAGTGAGCAGCTGGACAGGCAGAGATAAAATCCCAGAGACAGGCAGGAACAGGTCACGCTAGCCAATGTGAGATTTTTGGTCTTCATCTGGATGTGTACAGAGAGAGAATCTTAATTGTGAGGTACTATTCCCCCAACCTGACCTAAATAGCTATTTATATCTGCATCACTGCTGGTGCCTATTAATCAGCCATTCCATCAGTCAGACTCTCAAACAAATAATTGTTGTGCCATGCACAATGCTGAATGATGGGAATACAAGACAGACACTACCAGCCCTGCCCTCATGGAGTATATATTTCAGTGCATAAGTTACAAATGAAATGATTACAGGTATCACAAGGTTGAAAAGGTAAGTGAGATGTAATACTGGCTTTTATAGTAAAATAGGGTTATAACCTAGTCTACAACTTAGGACCTATATATATGTAGCAATGAAATAGCATTTCATCTTACATATTTCATCAAATTTCTACATATAACTTCAAATTTCTACATGTAAGTTCAAAAAGTTATCCCAAGATTCTACCTAGTACAATACAACAGATTGAAAACATCCATTTATATAGTGCTTGATAATTTTCTGTCCTTTCATATGCATTACCCTATTTAATATTCATAAAAACTGTGATAGAGGTCAATCACTTATAATTATCTTTTTTTTATTTTTTATTTTTTAATTATTTTTTTTAATGTTTATTTATTTTTGAGAGAGACAGAGACAGAGACAGAGCTTGAGCGGGGTAGGGGCAGAGAGAGAGGGAGACACAGAATCCTAAGCAGGCTCCAGGCTCTGAGCTGTCAGCATAGATCCCGATGCAGGTCTCAAACCCACGGATGGTGAGATCATGACCTGAGCTGAAGTTGGACGCCCAACCGACTGAGCCACCCAGGTGCCCCTATCTTCTTTTTAAAGATGAATAAGCTGAAGCTATGAGAATTTAAATTATCTGTCTATAGGCATGAAATGAGTTAGTAATATCGGTAGTCTTAGCCTTTTCCTACACCACCTATATCACTAGAGGTCTGATCTGAGCTAAATATAGGGAAGTCGTGTACCCTACAGCTAGGCATTTAGTTTGGAGGCAAATGGAAGAGGAAATATAGCATCCTTATGATTATGAAATATGGGATCTGTTTAGGAAGGTGTTTTGATAAGCACCAGATAATAAATTGTGCAGAAATGCTGTGTGCATATACAATTAGGGAACAATCAGAGTGGTATGGGATTATTCTATAACCTTGTCTTGAAAGAAATTTTTAAACTGAGCATATAAATACATTATGTGGTTAGATATTGATGTTTTTACATTCTGAAATTCTGTTTTTCTTCTTCTCTTTTCCCCTTCTCAAAATCACTGCCAATCAATGGATCTTACCCACCATTTCCTCTGAATTTATTGCTTACTTTAGAAATCTACAGTGTTCCTTCATTGAACAGATTAATCTTAGCTACTGTCTTCTTCCTCTGCCAAAGACTTCTGCCCAGGCACTCCAGAAAACTTTACTCAGCATTCTCTTCCAATTATCCTATTCCCAGCTCTAAGCCTGATGCCAAGATTTCTATTTGAATGACCTCTTCCTAGAATGCTAAATTGTCAACCTTTATAAAAGCTTCATTCATTTAACCTTCCTCTATTTCTTAGAAAATCAGTAGAGAATTCTATCCAATGTGCAACCCTGAATTTGCTGCCTTACTAAATGAATGCTCTCTGGTGCTCTCATAGAGCGCAATGAGTTTATTTTCCCAATTTTTGTTTGAGGTCAACAAATGTCTGGCTCTATTGATTATTTGACATGGTGTTTTATAATGAGTCAGCACCTGGCATAATGTCAGATAAGAATGCATGTGATATTTTCAAATAACATCATTGTCTTGTTACAAATATTACATATTTAATCTCTCCTGTCCCATTACACCTGCTTTCTCTATTAATTAAAAATTGCCAAGAATACATGTCAACTACCAAGTGATTAAGACACAAGAGAAAAGTCTACAACTTCAATTATATATATATAATTATGTTAATTGTCTTATTCTTCATAACCATGAACTGGTGTATGGCATGTGATATACTGAGGACCCTGTCAAACCATCATTATGTGATGACAACATGCCAGGTCCTACGCTAAGCATTTGTTGTATTCTATTTTGTTTTTTTACCTTCTTATCAACTCAACAAATAATTAGTTTGCAGTATGACTTTCTGTCTAGAAAGTCAGTGAATATCAAAGGCACATTTTAAAAAGCTTATGAGAAACAATTTTGCGAAAAAGGAAAGACACTTACAGGAACCAGGAATTTTTTAATCTCTTCCAGTGCATGACTCATTCGTGAATAAGCTTCCCCAGGTGGAGCAAACACTTCAATTAATACGTGAAGTTCATCACTCAAGTGGGCATACTTGGCTTCCCCACTCTTCCTTAATTCTTCTTCCTGTGAAAGAGGTTATTTTTAGAAATACAAATCCACCCATTTTGCACTGATTTAACATTTACTTAGAATATGACAAAAGGGAATAATCTAAGCAAATTTTCTGTAAGTAGAAACCCTCTGAGAAATAAAAACCTGGTACATTTAAAGATTTTAAAATCATTTTTGAGTGTTTGAATGATTTTTTTTAAAAAGCTGGCATAATTATCATCTACAATAGGTTTTAATCAGCTAAATGAAAATGCTAAGCCCCTGAAAAGAAGTTACAGAAATGCCATTAATTTTTCAGCGTACAACACAGTTGTGGAAGAAAAGGGTTATTTTTGTGTGCGACGAATAAAATTTTCAGAAAATAAACTAAAGATTATAACTGTTCTTTGAGAAAACCAGAACTTTCTAGCCGGTTTTTGAGAAGTGGTGAAAAGGTTACTTGCTCACCATTAAAGTGTGGAAAACCAAGGTTTATATCCCAGGCTATGTCCCCACTGGCCCAGATCGTCATCTAGCTTCATACTCACATCTTCTCAATCGTTTGCTGCTGCATTTTGGTCAATAGGAGTATATTAAAAGGATGGTGGTTAAGTATTATGTTGGCATTGATTCTGCATGAGCTATGTATCCTCAGCTTAACCAACAACATATTTCTATTAGATCAGATTTTTTCTAGTACTGTACCCAAGCGATTATTGTATCCCGATTAATACAGCACAGGTGCAGAGCAAATCAGCACACAATTCCATATACTTTGCTAACGTGTGCCGGGTATTTGATGTGTATCATCTCTAATCTCACAATAACCTTACACATTATTCACAATTCAGATTAGGAAGCTGAGTTTAAAAGATGTTAAGCAGCTTCAGCAAACTTGGGATTCAAACCTGGCACCTTTTGCAACCAGATTTGTATTTTTCTAGGGTTTCAAGGAAGCAGAATTTCGGTTAAAATGTGAACATAAATAATATTAATTATGTTTTACTTTTCTTGACTCCTATCCCCAATAAACTTGTAGTTGTTGCACTAAATATCTAATGATAAAAACTAACAAGTAATTTTTAGCTTTACTTGGGGATTAATTAGAAAAGTAACATGGACAGACCTAAACTGGATAAATAAAGGCAAATTTGCTATTGATTTCCAATAAGTAACTGTATGACCCATGTTCATGTGCTTATCTGACTAGGAACTAACATCATTTCAGGGCTCCTGGGTGGCTCAGTTGGTGAAGCGCCCAGCTCTCGATTTGAGCTCAGGTCATGATCTCACCATTCATAAGATCGAGTCCCCAGTCAGGCTCTGTGCTGACAGTGTGGAACCTGCTTGGGATTCTCTCTCTCCCTCCCTCTCTCTGCTGCTACTCCACTCATGCTCTCACTCTTTCACAGTAAATAAAATACATTAAAAAAATCTTAAAAAAAATAAAAAAGAAACTTCCATCATTTCAATACAGGGAAGCTCATGAAAGAGATAGGACAGTGTGCCTGCTTTTCTGTCCAGCCCCACCCACTCAAATCTAACAGTAACACCTTTCAGCCTAATAATCTACTCTCCAAGTGTCCCTGAGCACACTTTTTTTTTTAAGGTTTATTTTTGAGAGAGAGAGAGAGAATGAGCGGGGAAGGGACAGAGAGACAGGGAGACGGAGAATCCGAAGCAGGCTCTAGGCTCTGAGCTGTCAGCACAGAGCCTGATGGGCGCTCGAATTCACAAACCGTGAGATCATGACCTGAGCCTAGTGCGACGCCTAACCCACTGAGCCACCCAGGAACCCCTCCTAAGCACACTTCCTATCTCTAACTAGGAGTTTTTACTTAAAGGGGTTTTCTTAGTGCCCATTTCTCAGTTTAGGGAGAAGTAGCGATTGCCTGAACAACTACACACTCATGGGGTATAGTTCACATTTCTTTCCTCTTTGGATTCTGCTGGGAGGTAAGCTGCTCATTATCTCTGGGGTCAGCTTCATTTGTACCTAGGTGCTGAGGTGGGTAAATCAGAGGATTCTTCATACTGCCCCTTTCTCCATACTTCCTAAGCTGATTTCCCACTGGGTATTAAGGACTACTTGTTAGCCACATTTAATACTAAGAGGTGTGGCATTTGTATATGAATTATAATACTCATTAAAAAATTTTTAATGTTTATTTATTTTTGAGAGACATGGAGTGCGAGTAGTGGAAGGGCAGAAAGAGGGAGACACAGAATCTGAAGCAGACTCCAGGCTCTGAGCTGTCGGCACAGCTCAGAGATCATGACCTGAGCAGAAGTCAGACGCCTAACTGACTAAGCCACCCAGGCACCCCAAAAATTATGATACTTATTTTCAAGGTTTTCAAATAAAGTGAGCCTAACTAGGTATCTCTGCAGTTGAGCCATCAGGCTGATGTTCACGAACAAAATGTAACGTACTATTAAAAAGCACATTTGCCTCTCACCTCCTCAATCCCCCTTTATACAAGCAGATGAGGAAGCTGAGGTCCTTAGATATTAAGCAACTTCCTGGAGGTCAAGCATTAGATTTCCAGGCAGGATCCAGTAAGGTAGGTGTTAGCAATGATAAAGACTTTAAAGGAGAAAAGTTAACACAGCAAAACCTATTGTGAGCTACTACTGGTTATTTTCAAAACTAAGCTTTCTATCTTCCAGGTGTGTTATGTTTGAACTCATGTATTAGGGTAACTTTTTTTGCTTAAAGTTTATTTATTTACTCTGAGAGAGAGAGAGAGTGAGAGAGTGAGACAGTGAGACAGTGAGAGAGAGAGAGAGAGAGGGAGAGAGAGAGAGAGAGAGAGAAAGAGAGAGAGAGAGAACAGGAGAGGGGCAGAGAGAGAGGGAAAGAGAGAATCCCGGACAGTCCCCACACTGTCAGCACAGAGCTTGATCCCACAAACTGTGACATTATGACCTGAGCTAAGATCAAGAGTTGGATACTCAACGGACTGAGCCAAGGGTAACTTTTGATAGAGCAGAAATCCCCAAGCTTTAGTTTCTTTATCTGTGAGACTTATATAATAATAGTGAGGTCATAGGATTTTGTGACTTTTGAGAAAATTGAAGAACATTTGTACACTAAAAATGCTCCACCAATTTATTTTAATAATGAATATTGTTTCTTATATTTTAAGTAGCATTTGAAATAATGTCTGACTGTTCCAACAGAGACCAAAGTAAACGTGACTTACACATGAAGAACAGTTCTTTCTTTCTCAAGTAAGAGTCTAAGCTATAAGCAGCTAGAGGAATAGATGGTTCATCTCTTCACTCATCCAGAGATCCTGGTTCCTCCTCTCTGAACTCAAGCAGCCCCTAAGATGTTGCTCTCCTGTGTGCTGATGAAGAAGGCTGCCTATAATCACTTCTAAATTCCACTCCAGGGAAAAGAGAAAGAAAATGCAGACAGCAAAAATCTTATTCTCAAGGACATTTGCCAGACGTTTCATACGTCATTTCTGGTCACATTTCTTTGGGAAAAGTGTACTTACACCGTGGCCCCGGATGCTATGGAAGCTATAATTGTGGTTTCAGGCTGAGTAGCCTTGAGACTAAAATGTGAGGGTTCCATTTATGATGGAAATAAGTGAGAATGGATACTGGATGACAACTAGCTGTCTCTGCATTCAGTCCTCATTCAGGGCTAGTTAAAATAATACTTATTTATTAAATCTAATCTTGGTGAATAGCTAGCCAATGTCTTCCAGAACGCTTAAATTTTATTTTCAAAAACAATACTATACCTCCAGTTGGATTTATAACATAAACCTCCAAGTTTCATTTGAATGTGGGCAGACATCACAGCCATCCTGAATAACACAAGTGTCTAGAGACCAGGGAGTACATTTACAGTAATTTAATACAATCTCTTGAAGTATTTCTTAAACAAGAGTTCCAAATATATTTTGAAAAAAAGAAAAGTTTACCTTTGCAGTAAATTCATTATCTTATAAGTTGATTGTGAATGGGGCAGTGAGTAGTATTTTCATGTTTCTGCCCGATATCTTTTCCATGTTTTATAACAAAGAGCATTGTACCCTAGCAAGTTACACTAGATAGAACAGGGAACAAATAGCAAGAAGTGTAAAAAAAAATACTATATATGTATATAAATAAAAAATTTAAAAAATTAAGAAATTAAAAATATTAGAAAAATCTTGAGTGTAAATTGACATATGCTATTCCGAAGTTAACATTACAGAAGAGTGAATCTACATCTAATAAAAGCAAAGAAAAGGGCACAGGGAATAAGTTAAAAGAATGCAAGATGCACACACTGGAAGGTGAATTGGCTTGATGTGATTCAGATTTCTGCTTAAAAGACTGTGCACTCAGTTGATATTATTTAATCTTCTATGAAAAAGGTACATTTATTCCATTGAGGACATTTACTTTAACCACTGACCTTCAGAACATGGTTTGTGATGTTCAGCTATTACAAAGGTATCATGAGCTAATTATTTCAACTACAATTATTAGTTGCTAAACATAAGAAATTCAAAACAAAGTCATTACAAATATCAAATCTAGTTTTATATATCCCCAAACATTCTATTCCCATGTTATACCCTAAGGTAAAATATAAGTAAAACATAATCAGTTTTCACCAGTTATTTTATAGAGAATAGCATGGCACGAAATAGAGTCTAATTTGAATTGCATTCATGTGTTTAATTGTTAAAAGGATTTTTAAGGAAACTTTCTCTTAGGAATTATCAATTGTGTTTTATCTTCCACAAAAGAATGCTTTTGACTGGGAAATAATTTGACAATTAGAAAATTTTCCTCTTAATTCAAAACAGCATGTTCACTGAAGAAAACTTGAAAAAATCCCCAAAGTACAAATATTTTAAAAGATATCAACAACCACACAATTTAAGATAGACTATTAGTATTTTCAGTGTTTCCTCAAGTATCTCTATACAAGAATAGTAATGGAATTGAAGTCATAATTTTAATATTGCTTCTTAGGTCACGGGTATGCAAAGTACCTTCCATAGATTATCTAATTCTGTACG